CCCCCCCCCGCCAGCTCTGAGTGACAACTGCAGCATGGTGCATAGCGCTTTGGTGGAGATGTAAAGATCCCAGGGCTCTGGCCACCACAACCACCAGTGATCCATTAGCAGCAGCGGTGGCCTGGAGCCCTGGCCCCTTTTGAATTGCTAGGACTGGGGGCAACTGCTCCCTTCGCTCACCTTTCTGTCGGTAGGTCTGGATACACTTTAGTCTACTGTAATAGAAGCATATATTTTTAGCATTCTATTTGTATTCAGTGAACATCGCAAAATCCACAAGGCAATGACACTAGCAGGCTTTGGAAGTACTTTTTCTTTAATCTGCAGCAGTGATCTTACAGCTAAAGGAAATTAATATTTGGGTATCTTAATTTGGAACATGGCCTAAATGCAAAGTGCCTGCTGTTTCTATGGCTGTTATATACACGCAGCATGCAGTGCTCACAGGGGATTTACTAGAAAAGCAGAAGGTGCAGTTCCTTTGTATTATGTTACATTGTCTTATTTGCCAACTAGCAGGTCACATTTCCCAGTGTTGTGCAAGCATGAAATGAGCCTATTGTAATTAGCACTGGGTAAACCTATAACTGTTTGTTTGCGTTGGTCAGGAGAAACATTCAGAAATTCAAATGGACCCCATGCTGCTATAGCGCTCTCTCTCTCTGGCTCACCCTCACCTTCCTCTCACCCCCCTCTCTCTCCCACGAGTAGCAACTTCGACACATCTGCTTGTGTCCTTCACCTCACCCACATCAAGAATACCCCCTGCATAGCTGAGGTAGGAAAGAGTTATCATCACAGTTTACCAATGGGGGAATTAGCTGTAGAGACAGAGAAGGTGGCATTTTCAGGTTCTCGGCTTCCATAATTGAGGTTAGTGTTTTTTAGAGGGGGAGGATTGCCCACTGGTTAGTGCACTAGCCTAGGCCTCAGGTTCTCTGCTCTGTCACAGGCTTCCTGTGTAACTTGGGCTAGTCCTCTGGGACCATGTTTTCAGAGGTATTCAAGCATCTAAAGTTGAAGGAATGGCCTAGTGGAATTTTCTAAATTGTCTAGAAGTCAAACTTCACTAGGCATCTATCTGCATCAGTTGTTGCTAAAACACCTTTAAAAACCTGCCTCTTAGTTTCATTGCACCTCAGTCAGCATCTGTGAAATAGGGATAATAGCAGTGCCCTATGTCATGGGACAATGAGAGGATAAACACATTAAAGATTAAAGGAGCTCAGATACCATGTAGACAGGACTGCTTAACTTAGATTTTTCAAAAGAACTCAGATCCCATTGAGAATGGGGGAGTTGTTGAACTGTTATGAAAATCCAGACATTTTATTTGTGTCTGAATGGGAAAATCTGGCTCCATGCGACTTGGCCAGGAACACCTGAGACCCAGGCCAGGGCCTTATCCTCAACACAATCTCTTCTTTTCCTTTTGTGCAGTTGCCCTTCCACCACCTGTATATTCTGTACCACTCCCTATTAACCACTGGTCCCTCTTTTAAATTTAGCCTGGCTTGGAACTGGCCAGGCAGAGAAGACCAGATGGGAAGCTTAACACATGGAGATGTGGTCTCTCCTAGGTGCAGTGTGCATTCTGGGCACTTCATTTCATATTGTCATGCACTTTGGGTAATCGTGTTGCAAAGTTAACGTAAAATGCTGCTAGATGAGACTGGCAGTGTTCCATGCCCATTTAGTATAGAAGTAAATGGCCATGCAGCAGCAGGGTAATGGATGATCAAGCACTGTCAGATAACTTATATAGGACAGGAGAAGCCAGAGTGTTGGTGTCTGACTTCATCTGCAACCTATTTGAGGCTAGTTGGCTCTGTTATATGGTAACCAGGTAACCAGCAAGTCACCAGGTCCTGATGAAATGCATCCCAGGATACTCAAGGAGCTGATAGATAAAGGCTCAGATACCTCCTCTATGATCTTTGAAAAATCATGGCAGACAGGGGAGAAGGGTCTGTTTTGGGACCCGTACTGTTCAATATCTTCATCAATGATGTAGATATTGGGATAGAGAGTACGCTTATTAAGTTTGCAGATGATACCAAACTGGGTGGGGTTGCAACTTCTTTGGAGGATAGGGACATAATTCAAAATGACCTTAGCAAGTTAGAGAAATGGTCAGAGGTAAACAGGATGAAGTTTAATAAAGAGAAATGCAAAGTGCTCCACTTAAGAAGGAACAATCAGTTCCATACATACAAGACGGGAAGCGACTGTCTAGGAAGGAGCATGGCAGAAAGGGATCTAGGGGTCATAGTGGACCACAAGTTGAATATGAGTCAACAGTGTGATGCTGTTGCAAAAAAAGCAAATATGATTCTAGGTTGTATCAACAGGTGTGTGGTAAGCAAAACTCATGAAGTCATTCTGCCGCTCTACTCTGCACTAGTTAGGCCTCAGCTGGAGTACTGTGTCCAGTTCTGGGCGCCACATTTCAAGAAAGATGTGGAGAAATTGGAAAGGGTACAGAGAAGAGCAACAAGAATGATTAAAGGTCTAGAGAACATGACCTATGAAGCCAGGCTTCATGAACTGGGCTTGTTTAGTTTGGAAAAAAGAAGATTAAGGGGGGACATGATAGCGGTTTTCAAATATCTAAAAGGGTGTCACAAGGAGGAAGGAGAAAATTTGTTCCTCTTGGTTTCTGAGGACAGGACAAGGAGTAATGGGCTTAAAGTGCAGCAGGGGAGGTTTAGATTGGACATTAGGAAAAAATTCCTAACTGTCAGGGTGGTCAAATATTGGAATAAATTGCCAAGGGAGGTGGTGGAATCTCCCTCTCTGGAGATATTTAAGAACAGGTTAGATAGACATCTGTCAGGGATGGTGTAGACAGAGCTTGATCCTGCCTTGAGGGCGGGGGGCTGGACTCGATGACCTCTCGAGGTCCCTTCCAGTCCTATGATTCTATATCTCTATGATTTTCCGGAAATGCTTTTAACGGAAAAGTTTTCCTCAAAAAGATTTGGCTTTGATTTTAATTTGAGGGATGAGTCAAAGTTAAGGCAAGTTTTTGTTTTGAGGAGCCACTTCCTGCTGTAATTATTAATGTGCACACTGAAAAATAAGCAGAGGTACAGCTGATGATGGAACCAGAACAGAACAGTTCCTAACAATGTGCAGCTGATTCTCTTGAATTAATCTGATTCAAACTGGAGTATTTTCATTGACTTTTCTGTCATTCCTCTTAATTTGCAATGGCATGAAAGCAGAATTGGGTCCTTCAGGTTTATAGTCTCCTTATATTTCAAGTAACAACAGTGACAAGTGCTCAGCATCTCTCGGGATTAAGCCCTGTTATTTGGTAGGAGACTATTAATAAACTGTTGTCCTGGTCAGCTAAGCCAACTTCTGTATTGTCATATAGACATTACTGTGTAATGGTGTCCTGGTGTTATACGTGCTGTCCAGCAGGTAGCAGCATCACATCAGTAAATAACTTTCAGGTTTTTTTGGTTAAAAATATTAGCATGTGTGCTGTCTTACCGCCAATTCACTTTCAGTAAAACAGTGTAAATGCTTCACTTATACTGAGCCAGCCCCTTTCGAGATCTCATCCATTTCCATGCATTATGTAATTGGCATTATGTAGGTCAAATGGCCCTAACAAATGTTTCACATCTAACGAGAGAATTAGAAAAAGGAGCAACTCAGCTACAGTGAAGCTGTGATATTTCTGAAATCAATTACATTAAATATAGCTGATTAAATGTCTGATCCAGCACTCACTGACACCAGTAGAAAGCATCTTCTTGATTGTCATGGGCATTGCTTCAAGCCCTACATGGTCAAATTGACCACTACACAATTAGGGTTTATTTGTCCCTCTTAGACCTTTTAATAGAGGAAAGAGGTAGGAGACACTACATCCATTTCCCCCACCCTTACCTCAGAGGGCCCAGCCCTTTGAAGTGTGTGTGTGAGAGAGAGAAGGACAAGTGTAGCAGAAGATTGCTCCAGGGAAACAGGGGATGT